CAAAAATGCAAGATAGCACAAACATTCAAAAACAGAGAGAGTGGGTTAAATTCAATTAAAATTCAAGACAGATGAATACTCCTAGACTTGAGTATGAAAAATAATCTTATCCCAGTGCAGTGGCTCACACTGTAATCCTAGCACCCTGGGAAGCCCAGGAAGGTAGGAGGATCACCTGAGCTCAGGAGTTTGAGAACAGTGTGAGGAAGATTGATACCCTATCTCTAAAAGAAAAAAAAAAAAAAACTCACCCTTTAAATCAATTCTGCAAGACTAAGTGAACAAAGGAAGAAGAAAGGTCAATCCTAACAGAGACCAGTAATACAGGGTTCCCCATTCAAGGCTAGACAAGGGGACCTCATTTCCTAGACCTGGACAATTTCATGAAGGGAATGCCCTGCCATTTCCACTCCCAGCTAGAGGTACTGCATTCATTCACTTGTTAACATAACTCATTCACATCGAAAAGGTGTCTCCCAGCTACCAAGCCCTGGCCAAATGTAATTCTCAAGACCATATACCTCTAGACAAATGACCCATGTGGAGACTTCCCACTTGGATCTTTCCTTCTGCCAGAAGTGCTGGTGCTTTTTACTCCTGTATTCCTTTCTAATAAATCCTATCTTACCACTGATCTGTGGTCTATTCTTCGAATCCCTGAGAACAAGGAATTACTCCAGTAAGAAATTCTAGTGACACCAGAACATAGAACACAGAAATGTGAAATCATGCTGGAATACAGAGAGGAGTCTTATTCCTAAAGGCAAAGGGTGACAGCAGGAAGTACACAAGATGAAGCTCTCGAGGGAGGCAGAAACCCACTGGACTTCAACCTTATAGGCTAAGCTAAACATTTTAAGACTCATGCTAAAAGTCATAAAGAGTTACTAGTAAATAATAAGTGGGAGTCAAACAGAAAGACTTGTGTTTTAGAAGCATCCGTCTTTCACAGTGCAGAAGATAGATTTAAAGCTAGACAATGAGAGGTTAAAGACCCGAAGATTATTCCGAGGCGCAAAACAAAAGTAAAACGGAGTCTCTGTTCTGTGTGGGCAACGTGGTCTTTATTCCACCTGGGTGCAGATATGATGAAATCTCCGACGGGAAAAGAATTCCACCCATGGGCTATGGCGAATGGGGATTTAAGGGGTGAGGGTGTGGCAGAGATTGGCGCATTATTTCCTGGGTGGGACATGCAGTTGATCCTTCACAGGTGTCAGTTCTACCTGGGCGGGTCAGTACATTCGATCCTATCATCTCGGTCTTTTTTTTTGTTTGTTTGCAGTTTTTGACCAGGGCAGGGTTTGAACCCACCACTTCTGTTATATGGGGCTGGCGCCCTCCTCCTTGAGTCACAGGCACTGCCCACCATCCTGGTCTTTTTAGTCTATTATAAAGAGGCAGGGTGATGGGCGTGGTGTCTCTTTGACTGTGGGAGGGGCTGCAGGGGCAGGGGAGAATGCAAGGGAGGAGTGGCGTTTACAGGAACATTCTTGCATTCTTGCGTCTTCAATCTGGACTGATTGGTATCCACGTAGGGCGAGGATATGAGCAGTTGTTTTCGAGTGACTGGTTAATAAATCGGGAGATGAGGCGGAGAATTACTGGTCCACAACTGAGAATGAGAAAAATTATAATTAGTGGCCCTATCATAGGAAATAACCAAGGAGGCCATGATTCTAGCACCACAAGGATGGAGCAACCTGAGGGTGCAGTAAATTATCATTAATTCCCACCACCAAGATCTGTTTGTTTTAGAGGGCCTTTAAAGGTGGCAGTGTGGAAAAAGTTCCTCCCATGTTTATTAGAAGAGAGAAGAGAGATTGATTGGCTTACCTTCCACTAGCAAAAATACCCAGAGTTTAGTTTTCCAGGACAGCATCCGGGGGGCATCCTGATTTTCCAGGGATCGTCAGTCTTTTGCAGCTAGGCTCAGGTCAGGAATGTTCACTAGGTCTTGGGAGTGACTATGAAACCTGATCTTCAGAAAGATCTGGGCAGTCAGACTTCCATTGAGGACCTTTCCAGGCTGGACATGGTTTGGGGGGTGGGTTTGGATTTGGGCACTGCTCTGCTCAAAAGCCTGGTTTGCTGCACTTAAAACAAGGTCCCCCAGGGGAGATTTTGTTCTTTCTGAGTGCCCTGAGGAGTTTCAAGAAGTAGCTAGGTTTTGTGGCAGAAGCCAATCAAGAGTTCTGAGAGGCTCTGCAGCACCTTGAAGGCCAGATCAAAGAGACCTAGCCGAGGGGTCTGAGGGCCCTTGTGGAATTTTTGGAGTTCTATAGGAATTTTTGGAGTTCTATCATGTTTCTTTTCTCTCCCAGTTCCACCATTTTTTTTCTACCACCTATGATGGTGGGTGGAAGGCAGTGGAGAGAGAGGAAGATGGGGTGGAATTCCGCTGGTAGGAAATATAAAGGTAGAAAATCTGAGGGTAGGAATGAAGTTGAGGGAGGAGAGGCTGTGGATGGGGAAGAATGGGGAGGTTAGTCCATCAGGTCAAAAGAAGACAATGGCGATGTTTTCCCCAGATGGACCAGGGAAAGCCGGTTTTACCCACGCCAGGAGAATCTGAAAGGGTTCACAAGACAAACACAAAGAAGGAATGCTTCAGAGTATGAGAAATGCCTAACCGTGAGCCATTTATCCAGATTGTACATAGGCCAAATAATATTACAGAAAAAGATGACGTGTTTAGGTTTGAGGTCAGGATAGAGCCGTAATAGGCTTGAGGTGAGCTAAAAGATAGCTTAGAAGTGAAGAAGGGGGAATCCATGAGTGAGTGGTGCCCATATCAAAAACTGGAGGTAGTAAAAAATGAAATTAAAGCAAAGCTGTAAAGATAACTTTTGAGGGGGAAAAAGAGGGATGAAATGGCCAAGGCTGCAGCCAGAGAGGAGTTGGCCTCTGGTGTGGCCGTCAGCTGAAAAAAATGATCCAGACCCCCAGGAGGGCAGTGGATGGGCAAGGCTTCTAAGAGCAGAAGAGATAAGGATCACTGGGAGTGGTCCAGCCCACAGGAGGGCACTGGACCAGAGAGCCTAGCTTGCTGAGGCTGGGGTCAGGGAGAATACGGTCTCCATGTATGACCTTGGTCAAAGAGTGCCTGGCCTGTGTGTGTGACCTTAACCAGCCAAGAAGAATCTAGGCCCAAAGTAGGACACCAAACAGGCAAGCCTGGCTTGTGGAAGTTAGCCCATGACCCCAAAAGACACAGACCTCCAAGAGTGGCCCAGCCCCACAGAGCATTGGATGGGCAAGCCTAACTTGCCAAGGTTAATCCATTACTGGAAGAGACACAGATTACCAGAATTTTTGGCCTAAAATGGGAAGAGGGAAAGGAAGTTTTAAAAGGTGACAAGAGTCTATATGAAGGCTTAAAAGCTCAAAGATGGAAGGAGAGAGAAAGGAAGTTTTAAAAGTTCAGAGAAGGAATTCTAGACAAAGGTTCACCTCATCGTTTAATTAATGAATTTTAGGCAAGGTCAGAGGGTATCCCCTTTCCCTTCATCTCATCGGAACAAGGGTCCCTTTGGTTGGGTCTGATGGGGTATGTTTCAGTCCCCCATGGGGGCTTCTCCCTATCTGAGTCGCGGCACTATGAGAGGTTAAAGACCCAAAGATGAAAAATTACTCTGAGGCGCAAAATGAAAGGAAAACGGAGTCTTGCATTCTGTATGGGCAATGTGGTCTTTATTCCACCTGGTTGCAGGTGGGGTGAAATCCCTGACCAGGAAAGAATTCCACACATGGCTATGATGGATGGGGATTTAAAGGGTCAGGGGTGCAGGGATTGGAGCATTCATTATTTCCTGGGTGGGAGAGGCAGTTGATCCTTCCTGGGCGGGTCAGTTCTACCTGGACGGGTCAGTACATTCGACCCTATCAGACAAAACTGAAGAAAGGAGATATATTTGAGACTGTTACAGTAATCCAGGTGAAAAAGCCTGAACCAGTGCAATTGGCTGGGATAGATCCAAGTAACATTAACAAGCTATAATTTTCTGTGATTGGTTGAAATGGGACAAGTGTGTAAGATAAAGGAGTTTCTATAATTCCAAAGTTGCTGGCATGGATGATAACATAAATAGTGGCACATTCACTAGGGCAGACTATATAAAAGAAATGGGTTTGAGGAAAAATATGTTCAGTTTGGACTGAGATATCTAGGAAAAGACATCCAGTGGGCTGTGTGGATCTGTAAAAAGCTGAGTGTTCTTGCTACCATATGTTAAAACACAGGATTCTAGAATCAGACAACCTGTTTTTGAATCCTGATTCTGTGACTTACTAAATACGTAACCCTTAGCAAGTTTTGAAAAATTTTGAGCCTTGGTTTTCTCATTTGTAAAATGAGGATAACAACAGTTATTGTGAGGATTAAATGAGATAATACATTTAAAGCATTAAGAACAGTACACATATAACATGCATTCGACATGACAAATGTTCATTCTCTGTACTGGTATACTTCCTCCTAGCCTTTGACCTCTTCACATACATAGGACTGACTCAGGAATAGAGTCTAACATAAATTCATACCACCAAAGAATATACAGAAACTTTCAAAGCCTTATAGTTTTCTGGAATCCATATTGTGGACTTATTCTTCCTATAGAAGAATTCAGTAACACTCAATTGAAAAGAAATCAAAATGTATATAACACAGATAATACACACAATGAATGATAAAAAAGCACATTACATTATTTCTGGCAGTAACAATAATGCAATAAGTATTTGCTGAATGAATAAATAAATGAATGATTCTATTATCAAGATAAAATGTATATATAACCATAAAAAGAGATCAGCCTTTTTATTTTGTTTATACCAAAAGTAAGTTTAACTCACGTTTTAACACATTTCCTCTTTAAATTATGCAGTTATATTAAATCTATAACATTTATTCAATCAAAGCCTATATATGAAAATACCACTAACAGATGATCAAATCTCGTTATAAAATCTTACATGTAAAACCTAAGAGACTTTGATACCTTTTTTTGCATTCCACAGTTTGTTTCGGCTTGTTTCTCATAACAGAAGTTGAATGATTAAGAATCCTAGAAGTAAACCAACACATTAATTCCAAAATATATCAAAGATAATATTGTATACACATGATATAAAATATCTCTAAAATAAACTGCATGTGGTCCATGATGATCTGTGCTAGAAAACAATATTTAAATATTATTCACATCAGACCCCTGTAAATGCACTATTTGCTTTTTTGAGACAGAGTCTCAAAAGCTATAGCCCTGCGTTGAGTGTAGCATCACAGCTCACAGCAACCTCAAACTCTCAGGCTTAAGCAATTCTCTTGCCTCAGCCTCCCAAGCAGCTGGGACTACAGGTTTCTTTGTTACAGTTGTCATTGTTGTTTAGCTGGCCAGGGCTGGGTTCGAACCTACCAGCCTCATTGTATGTGGCCAGTGCCCTACCCACTGAGTTAGGGTTGCTACCCCCTGTAAGTACACTGTTTATGAAGGAATGAACATCAACTCTTCCACACATCCTCTTTTATAGACCCTTTGTCAAGGTTTGGCTATCTTCTAGCCATGCTATTATTGCCCTATACATAGCCAAATTTTGACTGAGACAAAAGATAAAGAGATATAGAATATTTTTTAGGTACCATTATTCTTAATTTAGTTTTCCCAGCAAAGCAAATTATACATGTAGGAGGTAGGTTGATGTTATCCATGATCAATACATAATTCTTCTGTCAAAAGCCAAGTAATAGACCTTAATTCTAAATGCAAACCCAACGCTAAAGTTAAATTCTTTAAAAAATAACAAGTTTCTTAAACTTTTAATAACAAAATAAAATTATATTTGAAGAAAACATAAGATAGTAAAATGATGAACCATCATAAAAAAACAAAATTATATTTGAAGAAAACATAAAAGATAGAAAAATAATGATGAACCATCATAAAAGAGCTATTTGTCCATAATTTTAGATAATTGCAAGTATTAATCTCAAAGTCAAAAATAATGAATTATTAATTATGCCTCTTTAATAAAATAACTCTACATATTTAAGAATTCATATTATATGTATGGATGTACCCTAAATTTCAATTTTAAAGTTTAGTGTTATAAGAAGTAAAATATCTGCCTTTTATTCAAAATAAAATCTGTAGGTGTCAATTATCAAAAGAATATAGAAAAGAATTTCAAATTAAAGGTACAGATTAACCAATCGAAAACAAAATATACTAAATGTAAGTTAGTAATTACAGAAATATGGTTAGTATAAAGAAACCAATTTCCATTACCCCAGTTTCCTGACTAGCTAGGATCTACTAGAACCTCACTAGGAAGCAGTGATAGTGAGGTATGAAAGAAAAATATCATATGCAAAAAGGGCACCTTTATTCTTCTTTGTATTGACATACACTAAAATTGCCTTAAATCTTCAAATGCAGAAGAATTAAGGTAATGATATATATTCCACTATTAGAAAAAAACACATTTTAAAAGGGTGTTTTTTTCTTTAAAGGAGACAAGCCAGTAAGTACTTTCCTGAGGGAAATAATCAGAATAATTGCAGGAGGAGGGGATTCAAAATACAATGCCCTTCATTATGATAAATTCTGATTCCTCCCTACATAACATTCATTAGTGTTGTGATTACTAACATGTATGAATCATATTGGAGCAGAAAGAAAAAAAAATTGAGAGCCACTCACCTGTAAAATATATTTTATGTATTTGAGAATTTATCTATGAAAAAATCTGCTACATGCATTAATTGATATTTTATGTTTTACTCTGTGATACTCAAAATAAACATCTAGGCAGCACCTATTGCTTAGTGGATAGGGCGCCAGCCATATACACCCAGGCTGGTGGGTTAAACCCAGCCCTGGCCAGCTAAAACAACAATGACAACTGCAACAAAAAAATAGCCAGGCATTGTGGCAAGTGCCTGTAGTCCCAGCTACTCCAAAGACTGAGGCAAGAGAATCCCATAAGCCCAAGAGTTTGATGCTGTGAGGTGTAGTGTGCCACAGCACTCTACTGAGGTTGACATAGTGAGACTCTGTCTCAAAAAAAGGGGGGGGGGCGCTATGGCTCAAAGGAGTAAGGCGCTGGCCCCATATGCCGGAGGTGGTGGGTTCAAACCCAGCCCCAGCCAAAAACTGCAAAAAATAAAATAAAATAAAACTTTACAATGTTAAAAAAAAAAAAAACCATCTATTAGAAACTATACAATTTGGCTTCATCAATCTGGCCCTTTAATCCTTAAGGCTTCCATAAACTCTAAATATCTTGATGCATATCCTGCTTCTCCGGTCTTCTAGAATAGTTTGTCACTGTATAATGTTCTATAACTTAAAGGCCACCATTTGTATTCACATTTCTGTATTATCACCCAAACCAAGAGATCAGACAAGATGGTTTTGGAGAGGACAGGGAAATCATGAGTAAAAGAAGAAGAAAAGAAAGAAAGGACAGATTTCAAGGATTCAGAGAACTGCCAGCTATTAACAAGCTAGAGACTAATATTATGCTATTATGCTCCTCGAATTCAAATATTCCTATAATGGGGGGGGGAATCACACAACATAGGTAATATACATAATTTCTATAATTCTAAACCAAAACAATAAACTCAAAATCTGATTTTGTTTTCCATGATCCCTAATTATACTTTAATTATAGACTTTCATAATTACTTTGTTATTTAGCTATATCAATACTACTAAGAAGCACATCTTTTCAGGACATACCTAAAAGGAAATAAAATAATTATTAAAAGGAAAAACATAACAGAAAATAATACAAAGTAAATTAACAGGAACAAAGTTGCAATGGGAATCAGGCAACTAACGGTATTTATTGCAAAGGCCCAAATATATTTTAATCCCTTCTTTAGAATTATAACCAAATTTTAAGAAGTCAGTTAAACATGTGTTTATTAAGCCATATAAGAAAATTAATAAGAAAAAGAGCAATAGCCACTTTTTAAATACTAACATACATGAACACATGAACAAAATCAACAAAAATTTTAACAATTGCCTCAGTAATTTACAGATCAGAATTTATTTTTATTTATTTATTGAGACAGAGCCTCAAGCTGTCGCCCTGGGTAGAGTACCCTAGCATCACAGCTCACAGCAACCTCCAACTCCTGGGCTCAAGCGATCCTCCTGCCTCCACCTCCCAAGTAGCTAGGACTACAGGCGCCTGCCACAGTGCCCAGCTATTTTTTGGTTGCAGCCGTCATTATCGTTTGGCAGCCTGGGCTGGATTCAAACCAGCCAGCTCAGGTGTATGTGGCTGGCACCTTAGCCACTTGAGCCACAGGCACCCAGCCCAGATCAAAATTTTTAATTGTCTTTCAACAGAATTTCCATTATTTTATTCTCAAGTTAATATTAAGAATATTCTGATGTTATATTATAAATTTATTCTCAGCTCCTTCCTTGATCTTATTACATACTACAAAATATGCTTTTCTTAAATTTTATTGTGGTAAAAACACTTAACATGAGACCTACTCATTATTTTGATAATGGAATAAAAATTGGTTTTTAAATTATCAATACAAAGTAGGTTAATCTATGTATCTCAATTAGACAAAGAGGGGGCAGTTTTCTAAATAACCAGGCTTCAGACTTTGAACCCTTGAGTTACTGACTTGATGATTTATTTGGTGATCTCATTTCCTACTTATTTTGATTATTACTTCTGTACAATGTTCTTTTTGCTACTTACCTAGGATAGTTTCATCCACCAAGTACTAGCATAAACTTCCCTAAAAATCAATGATATTTTTCTTCTTTGCTATTTATTTTTGTTGAGACAGAGTCTGACCCTATACCCTGAGCAGAGTGCAGTGGTGTCATCATAGCTCACTGCAACTTCAGACTCGGACTATGGACACATCCTGCTGCCTCAGCTTCCTGAGATACTGGGAGTACAGGTGCTCTCTGCAGCACCTGGCTGAATGATATTTTTAAGAATACTATTAACTAAACAAATGACAAAACTGCTGTAAGAAAATCATCACTGACCTCAACTTAAACATACATGACTTCTTGTAGCCAAGAGCTAACACTGCATTTTCCTTCAACTTGTCACTAAAGAACATTTAAGTAATTTAAAGTCAAAATAGGAGTACTGGCTATATTTCCTGGTATATAATCCAGACAAATTATATAGAGTGGTCATAAAGTTCATGTGCAATTTAAGTTCATGAACTTTATGGATACCCTGTAAAGTTCATGAACTTTATGGATACCCTATTTTAATCAAGACTAACAACAAACAAGAAAAATATAATGATAAAGTTAAAACCTAAAAGGAAATGTTACAAATCCTGGTCTGCCATTTTAAATAGCATTTCAGAACCTTCATTAATAAGTGGATATGGGCAGGGCCAGTGGCTCAAAGGAGTAGGGCACCAGCCCCATATACTAGAGGTGGCAAGTTCAAACCCAGGCCTGGCAAAAAACTGCAAAAAGAGAAAAAAAATTAAGTTGGGATATAAAGCACAGTAATACAAAATGAAAAAGACAATCTAAAACTAGAGAAAGTACAAATTATATCAAATCCACTGCAGGATATATCCTAATACTCTTGAATTTGAATGGCTCAAAAAAAAAAAAAATCTAAGTATTGTGATAGTAAACAAAAAAGTTAAATTAACTAAATGAGCAATAGCAACGTATTTTTAGAAGAAAAGAGATCATTTAATGGGTCGGGCACCATAGCTCAGTGGTTAGGGCAACGGCTACATGCTCCGGGGCTGGTGGGTTGGAACTAGCCTGCAAAACAACAACAAAAAAATAGCTGGGCATTGTAGTCCCAGCTACTAGAGAGGCTGAGGTAAGAGAACCGCTTAAGCCCTAGAGTTTGAGGTTGCTGTGAGCTATGACACCAGAGAACTCTACCTAAGGTGACAAAATGGGACTCTATCTCAATTAAAAAAAAAAAAAAAAAGATCATTTAATGGAAAGAACACTAGATTCAGCATGAAAAATTTCTAAGATCCAGTTCAGCCATTAACAGAATTGACTAGGGACCCAACATGAATTCTAAATAGATGATATATTTAAAAAATAAAATATGCTATTCATTCTTGACCAGATTATTATATTTCAATGCCTTTTAAAGTTAGGCATAATTAGTATGTGTATAAAATTAATATCACTGAATATTAATATTTAATCTAGAAAGTTCTAATATCCTTATGAGCTAACATCTATAAAGAATGACCAAGAAGAGAATCAGAAAAAGACAGAAATTACTTTTACATTCATCTTAAAGAATAACAGAAGTTACTTAGGAAAAATATATAATTTTTATCTAAATTAATGAGTTCTATTAGCTCTAAATTTGTTAATTTAATTTTTATGCAATCAATTAACTAAAAACATTAGTGAATACCTACTATGTACAAGGCATAGTGCTGCATGCTATTTTGTACTGATTACAAAACTATCACAAAAACTAAACCTATGAAAAATAACTACTCAGTCCATATTGTATCTAGGCTAGATAAATATTTTAAGTTATATGAATAGATAAAAGAATAAGTCACATTGATAGATGAAAAAATGATATACCAGTAGATATAGAAAATATGGCAATGTTAAAATTTAAAATTATATATTCAAATGCTATTTATAACACCAAGAAAAAAATGGATATTGTGGGTTCTTTAAAAGATAAATATTCTCTTTCCATAATGATAAACACAATTCTTTCATCAGCTAGGTAGAGGAATAGAAACTCAACTAATTTTGTAAGCTCCGCAGAGCAGGTGGTTGCTTGCTTCATCAAACCTCTTAAAGTTTTAAAACATGGAGTGATCAACACTTAGGTTATACTGGAGAGGGAAAAACACACAGTCTCATAAGTAGGCAATTTAAAAGGGCCATTAAAAATGAATCATAGGAAAATATTAGAAGATAAACATCACAGAAAAGGGTGACAGAAAATTCTAATAGAAGAAAAATGTCAACTAGGAATAAGGCTACAATAGATACAGAAGAGATACAGAACAGTGCTGGTTTACAGTATGATTTTTTAAATTTATTTTTTATTAGAGACAGGGTCTCATTCTGTTACCCAGGCCAGAGTACAGTGAGGTGATAAGAGCTCACTGTAACCTTGAAATCCTAGGTTCAGGCTCGGCGCCTGTGGCTCAAGTGGCTAAGGCACCAGCCACATACACCCAAGGTGGTGGGTTTGAATCCAGCCCGGGCCTGCCAAACAACAATGATGGCAGCAACCGAAAAAATAGCTAGGCGTTGTGGAGAGTGCCTGTGGTCCCAGCTACTTGGGATGCAGAGGCAGGAGACTCGCTTGAGCCCAGGAGTTGGAGGTTGCTGTGAGCTGTGAAGCCATAGCACTCTACCCAGGGGGACAGCTTGAGGCTCTGTCTCAAAAAAAAAAAAAGAAAGAAAGAAAGAAAAAAGAAAAAGAAAAGAAAAAAGAAATCCTGGTTCAAGTGATTCTCTCATCCCTCCCAAAAGTAGCTAGGAATATAGGCCCATGACATGTTACTTGGTCTCCTAAAGTGCTAGATTATAGTAGTGAGCCACCATCCCTGGCCTGACTTTTTAAAATGAAGCAGCAATGTAAAGAAGATATTAAATGGCTATTTAGCTTATTAGTCATTTATCCAGATTGCCCCTAAAAATCACATATTTGTCATTTGATATTTTTAAGAGTATTTATCAAAGCACTTTTAAAATATCTTTTTAGAGATAAGGTCTCACTCTGTCACCCAGGCTGGAGTGCAGTGGCCTAATCATAGCTCAGTGTAACCTCAAATTCCCGGGCTCAAGCAACCCTCCTATCTCAGCTTCCTGAGTAGTGGACTACAGGGACCCACCACCACACCCCATCTTCAAGGGCTTATTTAAACAAATCCCAGTATATTTAAGTTTGAAATGTCTCAAAACATAGTCATCCTATTCATAAACATTTTTATTGCTTTGAAGAAGTGAAGCAAAATACTTATTACTTATCCATCTTAAATGTACCCAAATTATTCTCTTAACTTTCTCTAAATAAACAAACTTTAAAAAACTTAGATATACATTATTTCAAAACTATAAATGCAGTACTTTTAGTACATGAAGATGGCAATAATAGCTGACCCACAGCAGCACACAGAAATTTTTCCTGTATTAAAAATGGCCTTGGGCTTGGCGCCCGTGGCTCAAGTGGCTAAGGTGCCAGCCACATACACCTAAAGTGGAGGGTTTGAATCCAGCCCGGGCCCACCAAACAACAATGATGGCTGCAACCAAAAAATAGCCAGGCGTTGTGGCAGGCGCCTGTGGTCCCAGCTACTTGGGAGGCAGAGGCAGGAGACTCGCTTGAGCCCAGGAGTTGGAGGTTGCTGTGAGCTGTGATGCCACAGCACCCTACCCACGGGGACAGCTTGAGGCTCTGTTTCAAAAAAAAAAAAAAGGCCTTGCCTTGATTTCATGTTCATTCATAGAGTCCTTCTCATTGCCAAAGACTTGAATTTGGAGATAGCCTGACCAGGGGCAGAAACGGTCATTGACCAAGAAACAGACCAAAGTGAATCTGACCCTCAAATCATCACACTGATTTACTTAGCCATTATATACTTCAACTCAATTCAAAGGAGTTATACATATCCCAAGTAATTCAGAATGTGACTTAAGAAAAAGTACACTATATACATATGACACGTACCTGGAAAAAATGCTTACAATATAAATAATGCTACTACAATGAATATCAAAGAAAAAATAAGTTATGATTTAACACACAGAAATAAATACGAAAGACCTAAGCAATATTAAATATACTGACTACATACTAATATATGAATGTATTCTATTAGTTGTAAATGTAATTTTACATCTCGGTCATATTTCCTAGTGTCTTTTAATATAGGTCGAATATCTCTTATTTGAAATACTTGGGATCAGAAGTGTTTCAGATTTCAGGTTTTTGGATTAGGGATATTTAATCTGTAGTTAGCCTCTCTCTTTTTTTTTTTTAGACAGAGCCTCAAGCTATCCCCCTGGGTAGAGTATCGTGGCATCACAGCTCACAGCAACCTCCAACTCCAGGGCTCAAGTGAGTCTCATGCCTCTACCTCCCAAGTAGCTGGGACGACAGGCATCCGCCACAATGCCTGGCTATTCTTTGGTTGCAGCCATCACTGTTATTTGGTGGGCCCAGGCTGGATTTGGACCTGCCACCTTAGGTGTATGTGGCTGGCGCCTTAGCTGCTTGAGCCACAGGCACCAAGCCAGTTAGTCTCTTAAAATAGATCTTAAGAGGGCCCTACCATCACTCAAAACTTCATAAACTTTATTTGATAATTTTTAAATAATCAGATTTAATGATTATAGCATTTGCCTGTTCAAATCTCATTACTGAAAAGAATACCTGTTCTTCTGCTCTTGCTGCAATAACTGAGCGGCAATTTTCCTCAAATCAGTTACTTCTTTTAAATCATCATCTTCTTCTTCTGCAAGTAACTGTTCTTTCTCAAGTCTGAAAAGTGACACAAACATGGTTATCCAAAAAGTAAGACAATGTTTTATGCCAGCTTCTAGAAATAGAAACCATTTTTGTTTCTAACATTACATAAAGGCTAAAATCTTTATGTCCTTTGTGTTTAAAATACGAAAATAAGAAATAAGTAATATTTAACTTAGAAAACATGAAATGTAGCATACTGACCATATTAATTATGACTAAAAAATAATGGCAAATTATGTGACCATTTTTAATTTTTGAAATATGTAATGGCCATAGTAATTTAAGAATGTATATTCCCGGGCGGCGCCTGTGGCTCAAAGGAGTAGGGCACCGGCCCCATATGTCAGAGGTGGCAAGTTCAAAACCAGCCCTGGCCAAAA